CCCTGTTCCTTTTTCAATGAAAGCTTTTAAGCATATAGCGCTCAGCAGGCTATAGCCTAAACAGGAGGGGCTGTAAAAATATCTGTTTGTATCATTTCTACAAAAGTAATGACTACTGGGGGGCTGATGATGAAGAAACTGAAATTGTTCAAGATTTTCTATTCCTTGGCTCCCTCATCAATCAAAAGGGAGACTGCAACCAAAAAATCAGGAGACTGAGACTGGGAAAGGCGGGCATGAAGGAACTAGAACAGATTTCTAAGAGTAAGGATGTGTCTCTGGTGACCAAGGTCGAGTTAATTCAATGCATCCACCTGGACTGAATTGAGACCTAGGTTTCCTGTCTCATACCAATGCTGATTTCTCCACGCCTATTACCTCTCTGCATATCTCACCTAAATCCACACCTGCTATTGTCATTCACCTGCTATTGTCATTTGCCTGCTAACGTCATCCGGCATCTGAAATCACTCCACTTTCCAATAAAAAGGACAGATGGACTTACATTCTAGCTATATCTGAAGAAGTGAGCAGTGACTCACGAAAGCTCCTACCCTGCCACGTATTTTGTTAGTCTTTAAGGTGCTACCGGACTCTTGCTCTTTTTTGTTGCCACAGATAGACCAACACGCCTACCCATCTTGATCTAAGTTAATTCATGTTATTCTATTCTCCATTGCTATGTCTGGGTGTGAACATTGGACAATGAAGGAAGCTGACAGGAAGAAAGTCGACTTGTTGGAAATGTGGGGTTGGAGGAGAGTTTTACGGATACCCTGGGCAACCAAAAAGATAAACCAGTGGGTTCTAGATTAAATCAAGCCCGAACCCTCCCTTAAAGCTAAAATAACATTATGAAAATACAAGAGTCATTGGAAAAGACAATAAGGTTGGGAATTTAAAAAGACAGAGGGCTCATTTTATCACATGTGGTGGACTTGCGAAAAAGCAAAACAGTTTTGGGTTGAGATTCATGCAGAAATGGAAAAAATTGTGAAATGTAAATTTAAGAAAGAACCAGAAATTTTACTTTTGGGGCTTAAAATGGAAGACGTCAATATGGCAAAAAGGACACTGATGTGGTGTATGATCACAGCTGCCAGAATGACTTATGCGCAATGTTGGAGACAAGATAAGGTTCCTGAAGTTGGAGACTGGATCAAGAAACTACTTTTCATGGTTGAAATGGATAAAACGACAAGGAAACTAAATAATCTGGAAGCAGAAGACTTCTTTGCAGACTGGAAAGATTTTAAAGACTATTTGGCAAAGTACTGGGATGTGAGGGACAATTTATTTTGCTTTGATAATTATTAAAGGTTAAAGGATATGAAAAAATAGATAAAGTTATAAGAATAAAAAATGGAGGGATAAGTTACCTATAGATATGAGTAAAAAAGGGAGGGATGAACATCTAAGAAACGAGCAGGAGGTTGGAGCACTGTGGGAAGCCGAGTTTGGGGGGGGGAAGGGAGGAGGGTAGGATGATAACTATATAATGCTTGATTTATGTTTGACTTTGTTTATTATATCCTAATAAAATGTTTTCCAAAAATAAAAAAGGGAAAAGACAATAATGTGAGGAAAAGTTGAAGGCAGCAGGAAAAGATGAAGACCCAACTTGAGATGGACGGACCCAAGTAAAGGAAGCCACAGCCCACAGTTTGCAAGACCCGAGCAAGGCTGTGAATGACAGGACGTTTTGGACAACATTAACTCAGAGGGCTGCCGTAAGTCAAAAGCCAAACAAGGACCCACGGTAAGTAGGAAAACCAACATATAACAGATACCGTGCACAGATGAATTATAACCCATCATAACCTATCATAAATAATTTTATATCTTTTGAAAAATATTATTACAATAATTTCTTCATACATATTAATCATCATAGTCACAATTCATACGTGCTTTTCACTTTGGAGGAGGCTTGTAGCTCATCAAAAAACTTTTCGCAGCGTTCATTGAAAGAGAATTTTGGATTAAAACTTTGGTATTTAGCAACCTTGTGCTGAAAATTATTGTTGGACTCCCTGAGGAAGATTCTGAAACAGAAGGACATCTGGACCTCTGTTGGAGG